CCCCCAAAAAAAAAAAAGTAAATAATGCAGTTTTTTTTTTTTTTTTTCTTTTTTTCACAAGAATTTCATTGGTTGGTTGTTTGTTTATAGCTTTGATCACAGATAACTTATGACCCATAGCGTGAGATATACGAGTATATTCGTGGTAAAGCCGTATCATCGCATAGATGCATATTCTGCAGAGCTGCCCCTTTAATATGTACTCATAGTGGGGGAGCTACTTTGATAATAGATATGTGGCGGCAGCCAGACGTGGCGCTGAGTAGCACGTTGGGTGGTGCATGGCCATTTACGATTAGCTGTACGGTTTTGGACAGCTCTCACTTAATAGAGGGTTTGACCAACGACTTTCTTATATCGCACCTTCAAAACAACTTCTCATCCAAGCGTAGTTATTCTACAGTCTCAAGCTGCCCGCTTGTCCTTCTAGTCAATGGTGCTTGGCATCTTTTGGTGAAGGGCTTAATTAGCATTCAACGCCTCCATATACACCTACTCTACGTGTCCTCATCTATCATGACACGACATCGATGGCGACCATGGAACTTGATTGTCGGATCCATGCTTGCTCTGCAGGCCCATAGCGCTCCCTCTGTGAATGTGGGCATGAATGCAGCTTTTCCTGCTGGCCCTTACTTGCTCGAGCTCTTGTACTTATCTTATCCAAAGCCCTCCCGCTGTAAGACAAATACTAAACAGCACTGGCAGAGAGACCGCGGCAGCAGAAAACTCATCGGCCTATTTTCCGCTCTTGGATCGAATTGCTACTGGATGCTTCGCCTCCACTTCAACAGACGCTGCTTTGTATGAGAAATTCCTCGGCATCTTACAAGAAGATGGTTGCCTGTCCAGTGCCGAGAGTTTGTCCACATTCAAACTGGCATTGTCTTTGCGATCTGCAGCGCCTCGAATAGAAGCTCACTACCAATACTATAACACTGCTGTTGTCCCTATTCTTGACGAATGGTCTGAATCAGAATGCCTCAATTGGGTGCTATTAGATGGAAAGCAGTATTGCCGTCACGAACTAAAGGAAGCTATCAAAGACGGACTAGGTTCCTTGTATGTATGTCTCACTTTTCCTGCGTCGCAAATTCTGATATGTTGTATAGGCACAACAAGCATCTTTCATTTGATCGAGTAACTGGTACGGGCAGGGAGGCCATCCTCTATGCTGATATAACTTCGGAAGGTTTTGGAGACTTCCACAAAGCTCTTTCAAATGCTGCAGCAGAAGGCTCTCTGAGCTATCGAATTCGATATCACCGCACTCAGACAACGCCTTACGCAGCTCTTCCCATGAGTGGGTATGGTGTTGAGTTGGCTTTAAAGAGGACGGACTATATCGTCATCGATGATCGACTACAAAACGAAGAGCCTCGTCATGAGAATACTGGTACCGGCGCCGGTCTCGATGGCAGTGAAGATGTGGCTGATATCAAACCTTTGACAGCATCAGATCTGTCATCGCTTGGATTGAAGGCAACATCCTTCATATTGCAAAGCGATGACCCATTGGAGACACTAATAAAGTTGACTCAGGATCTACCCAAGTTTCTGACTACAATTGTTGCCCACAATGTTTCTACGCAATTCGAAAAAGAACTTAAGCTTAACAGCTTGCAAGGAGTGCCAGATGGGTTGAATATGCTATGGTTAAATGGCGTTCAATTGATTGAGCGTCAGATTGAGCCATTCGCTCTTATTGAGAGACTACGTCAAGAACGAAAACTAATCGATGGCTTTCGTGCTCTTGGGTTGAACGGAAAGCAAGCGGTATCTATTCTTGGCCATCAAGATGTCTCTGCTGCGAAGGAAGGCAGTGAGGCATTGAGATATGATTGGACTGATCGGCTTGAAGATGGGCGGGTTATCATATGGTTAAACAACATCGAAAGTGACGACATTTATGAAGAGTACCCAAAGAGCTTAAAATCAGTAAGTCATAAGAAAATTGAGAACGTAATATTGCTCAGAAAGCCTCAATACTAACATCTTCAGCTGCTACAACCGTCATATCCTGGACAGCTGCCACCCATTGGAAAGAACATCTTTACTCTCATTGCACCTGTCGATTTCTCAAATCTGGAAGATGTTTCATACATCATGCAATTAATTTCCTTTATTTCTCGGGGTATCTCAATCAGATTTGGCCTGGTTCCTTTGATATCGACTCCTGAGGCGATTGTTAAGGCCAAAATAGCCTACCACATATTCGAGAACTATGGTGTCAAAGGCCTTTTTGCATATCTGGGGCAGCTCGAAGACGCCCCTCAGTTGGTCAACGAAGAACTCTTCTCAAGAATAACCGGGGACCACGCACTCCTTGTGGATTCGGACCAGATGAGTCTTGCTGAAGTGCTAGAGGCAGACACCTATGAACAACAGCTCGGACTTGCTCAGCAATGGATCAAGCGACTAAAGGTGGACACGCCGACTCGACAAGTGTTCTTCAATGGTCTTCCAATTCTTCGCGATGAGAATTGGATCCAGGAGCTGGGAATGCAAATCGGCGAAGATCTTCGAGTAGTCCAAAAGGCAGTTTTTCTCGGAATGATTACCGATGACGACTGGGCCCCGGGAATTTTCCTCAGCAAGGCAATTTCCAGGAGAAATGACTATATAACACCAGACGATGAAGGAAAAAGTCTCACTGTGCTTAACGTAAACAAAATTTACATTGAGCATGCAGATCTGTTCAGCAACGTCCCCGTCATCGACTTCGTTGCCGAGTCCCCAAAGGAAGATTGGTCGGCAGTAAGTGTCATTGCCGATCTGACGACCACGAGTGGCAAAGGTCTAGTTTTGTCCGGTCTGGAGTTCAAACGCCGCAGCCCAGGTGCCAGAATAGAGATTATTCACAATCCTGTATCATCTGATGGTGCTGCCTCGATAAATGCTGCACTTCTGGCGAACCAAGGACTACTGAGCGATATTCAGGACATCAGCAAGCTTACCGATCTTATCCAAACACCATCTAAAGATGAAAGCAGAGACAGTTATTTTGGGGCTTTAGAGCGATTCTTGACAGCTTCCAAAGTGCCTTTGGGAGCCCAGATGATAATGTTGAACGGCAGAATGATTGGACCTATCTCAGAAGACTCCGAATTCAACGCCGATGACTTTCAGCAATTTTTGGAAGTTGAACAGGCGAGGCGCATACTCCCAGTTTACAAAGCAGTTGAAGAACTTGGCTTGGGCGACAAACTCTCTACTCCCCTAGACGCAGCTAAAATAACGTCAATCGCCGCCCTATCTACAATTTCTGACTTTCCTGAAGGAATTTTTGAATCAGCAACGTCTGCGCGAACAAGCCTTTATGACCAATGGCCCGCAACGCATACAATTGAAAAGGGCGACCCGGAAACTGCGAGTGTCCATATAGTTGGACTCATTAACCCAGTTAGTGAGCAAGGTCAAAGATGGGCTCCTATTTTGAAGGTCTTGTCTGAGCTGCATGGAGTTCACTTGAAGCTTTTCATCAACCCTCCGGAAAAAATTGAGGAGCTTCCTGTCAAGCGCTTCTTCCGGTATGTGCTGAAGTCGCAACCGACCTTCAATGATAAGGGCGAGGTAGCAGGTCTGCAGGCTACCTTTAATGGTCTGCCCTCCGAGGCTTTGTTGACAACTGCTGTTGATGTTCCGCCTGCATGGCTTGTAGCACCTCTATTGTCGATTCACGATCTTGACAACATAAAACTAAGCGCAGTCAAGACCGACATCCATGCTACATATGAGTTGAAGCACATTCTTATTGAGGGGCATTCTAGAGAGGGCAGAGGAGCAGCGCCACGAGGAGCCCAGTTGGTTCTCGCTACCAAGAAAGATCCTCTTATCACGGATACCATAGTCATGGCGAACATTGGCTTTTTCCAGTTCAAGGCAAATCCCGGAGTCTACTCTATCCAATTGAAGGAAGGCCGCAGTACTGAGATATATGAAATTGAGAGCATTGGCGCTCAAGGATGGAACCCTGTCCCTGGCGATAACGGTACTGAGCTCGCATTGATTGATTTCCAAGGCGTGACATTGTACCCACGTCTCCAAAGGCGAAAGGGCATGGAAACAGAGGACATCCTCCAGGAAAAGGATGTTCAGGACAACAATATCATCTCCAAGGGTATCAAGTTGGCGGAAGGGCTCTTTGGCGGAAAATCCAAGAAGAAATCGCCATCTGAACAAGAACACGCCGAGATTAACATCTTCTCCGTCGCCAGCGGCCACCTGTACGAGCGCATGTTGAACATCATGATAATCTCGGTTATGCGCCATACAAACCACACCGTCAAATTTTGGTTCATTGAGCAATTCCTTTCCCCTTCTTTCAAGGAATTCATACCTCACATGGCAGAGCAGTACCACTTCAAATATGAAATGATTTCGTACAAGTGGCCTCATTGGCTACGCCAGCAGAAGGAGAAGCAGCGAGAAATCTGGGGCTACAAGATTCTATTTTTAGACGTCCTCTTCCCCCTGTCTTTGGACAAGGTCATATTCGTCGATGCCGATCAAGTCGTCCGCACGGACATGATCAGCCTGATGAATCTCGATCTGGAAGGCGCCCCGTATGGATTCACACCCATGTGTGATTCCCGCGTTGAAATGGAAGGATTCCGATTCTGGAAACAGGGATACTGGGCAAACTATCTTCGTGGCCGTCCCTACCATATTTCCGCCCTTTACGTTGTCGACTTGCGACGCTTCCGAGAGCTAGCCGCCGGCGACCGTCTTCGACAACAGTACCACACTCTTTCTGCGGATCCAAACAGTCTGGCCAATCTGGATCAAGACTTGCCAAACCATATGCAGTTCAATATCCCCATCCATAGCTTGCCTCAAGAGTGGCTTTGGTGCGAAACGTGGTGTAGTGACGAAAGCCTCAGCGAAGCTCGCACCATTGATTTATGCAATAACCCGCTCACGAAGGAGCCCAAGCTTGATCGAGCAAGAAGGCAGATTCCCGAGTGGGTTACGTATGACGAAGAAATTGCAGCATTGCACCAGATCCTCAAAGTGGAGGAGAGGCTTTCTAACGACGATGAGGAGACAGCTGAAGCGGGGACAGAGGACAAAAACACTAAAAGTCGGAGACTAGAAAGCGATGAGACACACACCAAGGACGAGCTATAAGGCGACTAGGTATTCAAATGCATGTATCGAGTGTCTCCTCACAGGCACTCATCATTTTACTCCCGACTTGGTTACGCACGTGTAAATGTAACATGTTTACGACATTTTAGGCATATAGATAGATATCTTTAAGGAAACAAAGTCTATTTAGGCAAGCATCGTTATAGAAAAGATGATGTTAAAAAAAAATACTATGATAATTCATAAAAGGCCATTGCTCAATGAGTGAAGAGCAAGCATATACTACCTATCCTTTAAAGATCAAGCAACTATAGGTGTAACAATAGATATTCGAGAGCTAGAAAGGCTTGCTTCATGATGAACGGGCCATTAAGTTAGATAAAATGTATATCTGTGTGATCAAAATAGTTTGATCTTGCCAGTGAATTCAGCACCCGTGCCTGTGGTTGTTGTCGCTTTTCTGCCAGCGCCGGTATAGTCTGACGCGCCTGTACCAGTTTGCTGGGTTCCGTTCGTATTGTTATTGTTTTGGTGGTTTGGTTGTAACAAACGGAAGTTCGCAATGTCAGACAGCTTGCTGGTCAGAGAAGTTGGGATTGATTTGCCACCATAAACTGGTCCAACAATCAGGGCAATCATGACAATACAGAGAACGAAATAGAGGATAGCAAAACGGATGACACGACGACGTCTGAGTTTCGACTGCTTCAGAGAGTAGATCGGAGGGCGGATTTGTTGACTATAAAGAATGTTAGTCTGATGTGCGATTGCTTGAGTTTACTAATTCAGTTACTTACCTGGGCAATAACCAGAAGAGCATCATCGAATGCAGTGTATCAACGCGAGGAACGAGAATGATCGGAAGCATGAATAAGAGCAGCCAGTGTCCGAGAATGAAATCAGCTGCAAACATGCTAAGCTCCGTAATTTTGCAAAGGAACTCACGAGCAGGCTGTGAGACGGAGTGCCAGCCCATAGAGTACCATTTTCCGGTCCAGAAGGCAATGTTAGACTGATCGGTTTTGAATTCTCGTGTCAGAGTCAACGAGACAATCAGTTTGAACAAGAATCGCTGGAGTGACACCACTGCGATCATACCGGCCATGGTACGGGCAAAGTTGAATGATTCGAGCAAGAACAGGACTTCGAAGAAAACCAACATGAAGATGACGGCCAGAGCATGTGCAATAGCAGCCAAGACACTACCAAACTTCTTACAGCACATACTCAAGAGAGGGCCCATGAAACATGCCATGGCAAACATAACCAACAATACACCAGCATTGATGGCCACCGGACCAAAAGCGACAATGAGAATACGGACGAGAGAGGCTGTGGGCTTAATATCCTTGCTTTGGTCCTTGGAAGTATCCTGCTTGCTGGCCAAGACACCAGTCTGCGCGTTGATGAACAAGTACGGGATGGTCGTTACAACAGCGAGCAGGAGCGGCGTAAATATTTCGGTGAAGAAAATATTGGCAATGGCTGCTCTAGGAACATCGCCCGACATTTTAGCGGATTTGTCACCCAAATTCTTGCGCTTGTAGCCAGTGACTCGTATACGAGACAGTCGACAAAAGGAAATCCATGAAGAAGCATGCGAACGCGAGTTACCACGCGACAACCAGCGAAGATAGTCACGATAGTCGATGAAGAAGTCGGTCCATGCAAACTGGTGAGGATTGTACAAGAAGGGCGAGATGACCAATCCAGTCAAGGTAATCCAGAAATAGACGAGTGCAGGCTCCCACGCGGTGACGGTAGCGAATAGAAGCATCATCAACAATCTCGCGCCGAAATAGATTGACGGTGCAGCAAATCGAGAATACAAAACACCAAATGGAATGCGCGCTGTGGCGAAACCACGACCAGTTCCGATATATCGTGCACCGCCAAACGAAATGTTCTGTTGCACAGAGTTCGCGTAAATCTGAGTGACGAAAATTTCAAAGAACGGTGAAAGTGAGAAGAATTGTTTCAAGAATCGACTGACGGCTCTCCAGATACCACGCTCAGTCAGTTCCTGCACGATCAGAGGAACGAATGCCACGAAGAAGACGACGAAGATTGAGAAGACACAGTTATGAACCCAATCCATCAATGCGTCCGTGTTTTGACAACCAGTAGGTACCAAAGGATCAGTGATGGGCACTTGACGGTTGTATCTGCAACGGATCGTCTCGTGTCGCAGAGCTCCGATGTTCATTAGCGAGATCATGAACATTTGGATAGAAAACATAATGAACATGTTGTTGACGTGAAAGCCGGCGTGAGCATAGTAGAACGACAGGAATCGGTCCAATGGAAGTTGAGTTCCCAGGTAATGGTACTCTCGAGAAAGAAGCTGTTCACCCATACCGGTACCGATCTTGGTAGTAAAGTTCAAGACGGAACCAAAACCAAGATCACGACCCTTACCGCATTGATAATACTCACAGTGCTTAATTCGACCACCACGTAACATTGCATTCATGCCAGCGAAAATATCTTCGTTCAGGTGCAACCCCTTCTGAGCTTTAGAAACACCGCCGCGAGTTGTCATGAAAATGCCATTGAGGAAATCAGGATGACCATAGTGAAGCTTGCCTCCGATTTGAGCCATAGTACGCGCAAAGAGAGTACCAAAAGTTTGTTCTTTTCCGGCAGCAACGTCACCAAGAACACCAATGTTTTCTGAGAAAATATACTCGCGAGCACCAAGAATAGCAACGGGAGCGGGAGAGTTCGTTTTCACACCGGGGGTATATGGAGAAACGTTTTCCGTCTTCATCTCCTCAAATTCAGCGAGCACGCTTCGGATTTTCAGACATTCTTCCAAGTAGTTGTCTTGATTGGCATCGATAAGCTGAATGTATTCACCACGGTAGAAAATCAGAGAATGGTTCTGGTTGTCAGACTTTCCATCACCGAGAATGGGGTTGCCAGAAATTTGGATACGGAACTTCGGGCGCCGCATACCATTTTCCATGATTTCCGAGTGGCCATCAATAAGGGCAGAATACAGTCGAGGTTCCTCACCCTCATTAACAGGTGGCTCTTCATCCAGGTAGGCAATCTGCAGGTCGGGATAGGCGCGAAGTAGAAATTCAGCGTTCTCCATTTCTTCCTTCTTGAATTTGGAATAACGCTGCATAGCCACACAAATTCTGAATTTACGGCGGGCCATACGCTCAAGCTCTCGCTCAAGCTTATCAGTATTACCACCAAACATCTGGACGACCTCGGGATTTTCGACTCTGTACAATAGCTTGATAGCTCGGCTATAGTTCATGAAACCAGAGATTGTTCTGTACAGAGTTTGGAAACGTAGCGAAGCCCATATTCGTGTTCGAAGGGTGTATTCAGGGGCAGAAGACTTGAATCCGATGCAGTAGAATGGGAGATCGTCGATTTTGCTTTTCGCCGTGTCTTCCTCTTTCTTCTCCTCCTCGCCGTTCATTAGAGATGTCTCATCAGCCAAGATCTTGGTGTCTTTAACGAAACAGTCCCATTCGTGCGGATGAAGCTGCTTGAGATATTCCAAAAGTGTCACTCTAGAATATGGCTCATCTTCACGAATGATTTCTCGCAGAGAAAGAAGAATCTTCTCTCCGTAATGAGGAATCATGACGGTAAATGTTGGCATGTTGTCCACAGGCAGCGGCTCGGGAATAGGAGTGGATAGAGATTGGGCAAAGAAAGAAATTCGGCGTTCTGCTTCGCTGTTGCTAGGAAAGAACTCTGTCTTGAAAGAATGATCTTCTTGGGAAACGAAGAAGGTCGGAGCTCGCAGTGTTCTCTTTCCTTCTTGCTCTGATGGGACCTGGTGATACAGTAGCTTCTGTACGTGATCGATAGCAAGAAGATGTTCTCTGTACATGGAAATAACGATAGCATTCCAAACCTGAGAAATCAGAACTTTGGGTTTGTATTTGATTTCCATGTCGGTCGTTGCCAAGACCTTTGAGTAGATACGTTTCGGCAGACGAGAGAAAATGTTTCTCCAGGGAGTCCAGATCGATGAACCGATGTAGAACGATCGGGCAATTGAGAAGACAGCATTGACCAAGACATAGAACAAGTATGTATCCAGGAAGAAGAACATCAAGTCGGTGAACATCATGAGACCCAGAGTAATTTTCGGCTGGTTCTTGCACAGAACATCGAGGAAAAGCTGATCACCCTGACACTCCAAATGCATGATCGAAAGATATCGGATCGGATCTTTAAAGGATAGAGCCAAAAACACATACGACTCTCCAAACTTGACTCCGAATACTACTAGCCACAAGAAATATGAGACCGCCATATCATTGAACGGTAATGTGGGCCAGGCAGCGGTAAATGTCTGACTAGCAACATATCGTCGAGAGTTGGTCAACAAGTAGCTGCCAAACAGACCTCCCAGGGGCATGACGGCGAAAAAGAGGAAAGTTATGATAGCAATGATGAAATGCAAAATGCCGAGAGCGTGGTCGATTGGAGCATCCGGATCCTTGGCGGCAAACAAGAAAACCTTGACGCCAGGAGCGACATTGAGAACGAGGACAAAAAGAAGGAAAAAGAGCCTTTTGGTCAGATGCTGCGCGCCAGCCCATCTTCTTGGGACATAAGCCCATTCTGCTAAAGTTGCAAAAACCTGGATCAGCGAAGCAACGGCACCTCCGAAACCAACAATAGAGAATTGCTTAGCTGCGGAGGGAGACTGGTTGACTTGTTGCTCGTAATTTTTAACCAACAAGGTAGGGGCGTTGTGAGAGGTATAGAACCAGAACATTGTGAGATGGATAATCCAAATGCGGTTGAAGTTGGTCAGAAGATGGAACCAAGAACGCGACTCTCGGTATGTCTTGAAGAAACATTTCTTCCAGTTGACGTCCTTTAATTTAAGATAACGTTCGGCGGGAGGAACATCAACCAGCTTGCTCTTGTCTTGCAGAACAATGCGCTCTATGCCTTCGGGATACCAGAAAAGCTGGTTGCAGTCATCGTAACCAATAATGTTCTTGTGGTCACGCTCTCGTCTGACGTAAACGCCGTCGACGATTTCGTAACCTTGGTCTCGACAGTACTGGTAGAGGGGAGTAATGACGTTGTTGAGGAATGTGAATTCGTCAACGGGCTCAACCAGTGCCTGGCATGCAGGAGAGTCCAGGTAATCATGGGCGCACTTGAAAATGAAGCAAAGTAATTCTGGCATGAATCGAACCTGGTTTGCCTCTCCCCAGCAAAGCAAATAGAGGGCAATCTGGCGAACTCGGTCGTGCTGGGACATGCGGTTCATCCGGGTCTTCCAGCGGTATTCAGCGGCCTCAAGACTGTCGTCACCTTCCAGGTCTTGCAGCGTTTCCGCTTCGTTTGACGGGTCGTCTTCCTTCTTCTTCTTATTCTTGGCTTTGCGCTTCAAGTTCTTGGTTCGACTGGCGAACCCAACCGAGTCATCAAGATCAAGGTGAGCCGCGAAATACCACTTGCGATAGTTGGCATTATCACCTCCGATGTAATCGGCGTGCAGCGAGAGAAGGGCTTGGTTGGGCGTCATTCGCGAGGCTCTAGAGTCCAGCAGTGTCATAAAATGATCATACATATTACGCATGCTGTCTCTCTGGAACCCGAACTTGGATGTGAGGTCCATGAAAATATCCTCAATCTCCTCTTTGGATAGAGGGATTTGGGCATCAGAGGTCCAAGCTGGATACGGTTCGCGCGAGCGCTGTCCGGCTGGCAGAACATTGCCATAATCCATCCCGTAGTTGGGAGTTGATGCGCCTGATGACCTGTTGCCTCCATAGGATACTTGAGAAGATGGAGGCCTGTTTCCTCTGTTGCCGCCGCCCTGGGGATCGTCATAACTGTTGTACCGCTCATCTCCGCGACCATAATAGTCCATCTCAGCAGCTCTGGCCATATCCGACCTCATTGTAAAATCGCTGAACGTCTCAGAGTCTTCTTCAGAACCGTGGCGCTGACCTTGGTTGTAATTCTGGTCATAATAGCCTCCATGGTTCTGGTAATCGTCATGATACTGATCGTCGCCCTCGTAATATCCACCATCGTGATGGTAGGGATTGTTGGGGTCTGCATTGTAGTATCCTCTGCATCATAGTCAGCTCTGTCCATTTTTTTAACAGATATGTCACGGTCAGAAGGCATACGATTCATCATAGTAGCCATCTCCTCCCTGTTGGCCACCGTGCCCTCCATGGGCGTCGTAATTTTGATCATAGTACTGGTCATCCTGGTAGTATGAATCGGTTTGATTATTTTGGTGGTCGTACTGGTCGTGATGACCGGCCGGATACCCCGACATCTTGAGCAAATGTACCCTGCAGACAAAGCTCGAGGTTAACCATCTGCGACGACGGCAGAATGAGGCAGGTGACGATTCTTACCTAGATGTTGGGGATCATGAATTGGGCTGCGTCGCAAACAGAATAAAACGAGTGATGGAATGCAAATAGTACAGCTAGCGGTAGCTCGCACAAACAAGAGGCCTAGCAGTGTGACGTGATGAGAAACGCTTGCCCGCAATGCAAGAGTGGACACTGTTGTTACAATGTGCTGGAAGCACCTGTGAGAATAGAAAAAAAATTCACAACAACAACAACTAGACAGAAAAAACGAGAGACGTAAGGACACTATCAAAGGACAAGAAAGATCAGCGTCAGAAAGAGAGACTGCCAAGGGCAAGCAAGCTGGTGGGAAGCAGGAAACTTCTACAAAAGTGACGGGCGATCACGTGAAGCACCTTCGAGCTGCCAATAAGGGGGCGGCCTCCCCCTTTCCACTTGCACGGAGCACGGAGGCATCGCGTCTTGCGTGCGTATCAGTGCTTGACCAGAGAAGTGGGGATGCTAGGAAAGGGGGGACACACACTTGATGGCAAACAGCTTGGGTTGGGACTAGCTGCGGAGCATGGAGGATGTCTGGACATGCATACAGGTGCGGGCTGCAGCCAATCAGAGGCGCCTCGTGCTGCTGCTATTATTACCACACGGCCTGGCTACGGGACCGGCGGAAGCCAGAATCGAACGCCAGGCACAATCTCAGAATTTGACACGATGCGGAGTCCGCAGCGCCAGGTGCCGTGGCTACGGACCTAGTCTTTCGCGCCTCGAGCATTCCCCTGCCCTGCCCCTTTGGCCGCCAAAGATTTAGCTGCGATTCCACCGGACGAATTGGGTCAGGGGGGTTTCGGACAGGCCTTCGGAAATATAATGCAAGGAACGGACGTGGTGGGTACATGGCAGACAGTGCAGACCACTCTTGTTCGCACATTGCGTTTCAGCGATCAAATGCAGTGCGCAGACGCAAGCGGGAAGAAAAATCTAATACGCGTCCGAGCGTCATAGCCACAGTAGCTCCGGCATGGAGGAGCGCTAACGTATCACAATTAGGCGCTACCCTGTGCTGCAGTGGAGCAGCTTCAACGTAGCATTTCACATCCTACGCCTGCGAATGGCCGCATTCGCCTACAAGTAACCAGTACGATCCCTTTCGTCTTTGCCCCTCAGAGCTGTCAGAGGCCTCAGAACATCAATTGAGCACCGGTTTGTCAGTAAAACTCCATTTTGACATATGGATGATTCAGCTTATATCCATTTGCTGTTGTATAATTTTAGGTACCTAGGCAGCTGAGGCGCCACTCTGCAGAATAAGGTAGGTACCTGCCTCGGCTGCCAGGTGCCTGGAAAAAACAACAGCTACCTACAGTATGTGTCAAGCCTCTCAAGCCTCCACGTGAGGCCACTTGAGGCCACCTGAGGCTTTTCCGTAAATAGTTAGTGGCAAACGCGACCGGGAAGAACTTTGTTCCAGCTATCGCCATGCATTGTATTGATGCTTCGCGAGACCATCTCAGTCGTCGCGATTCTACGAGGAAAAAAGCACACGGGGCGCCAGTGGAGGAGACCATTATTTCAATCAAGATACTCCGTGCCACTCGACCAGAAACCTTTCCAGGCCCAGTCCAGAGACAATATCGTAGCTTGAGATGGACCAGGAGCACGCTAAAGAGGCCGTTGACGGCGATGTCGACATGAAAGAGAGCCCCATTGAATCTAGCGTAGATATGGAAGACAACTCGGCTCAAGATGAACCTCACGATTTATTTCAGCTGATCTATGATCTTTCGAAATATCTATGTAGCGTCGAAGAAGGGTGAGCCGCCCCATAAGCAATGCGATATACGCGCCTCCATTTAACAATGTCCAGTGGTGAAGAGCTCGCAGCTGGGTTTCAGCGCATCCCCAACAGACGCCTCCTGCCCGACTACTTCGATATCATTGCCGAACCTATTGCTTTCAGTACTATACGGGTACGTTTTGATTTGCCATTTGCGCAGCAGCGAGGTTGTTAACGTAATGGCAGAGTAAAATACAAAAAAAGCAATATTCTACCTTCCCCGAGTTTGTCAGAGATGTCGCCCAAATATGCCACAATGCCCAGGTTTACAATCGTCCCTCAGCGCCTATCTTTGGGGCTGCTGAACGACTACGAGAAGTCTTCAAAGCGGAACTTCAAAAACTCGTTGACAGTGGAGATGTTACAGAGGACGATGCGCGTTTGCCGGATTTGGGAGAGCTGCCTCCTGTCGAATCATCACCATCACTGGAGTCTGAGGCTGAGGACGAAGAAGACGGACGGCCAAACAGAGCTGAGAGACGCATCGGCAATCAAGATGACGATGACGACGACGAGGAAGAGGAGGAGGAAGAAGCTACCGACGAAGACTCCGACGATGAAGACTACGGGGGCGGACGCCGAAGACGATCCGGTCGAGGCGACCGTAGCACTGATAAAGATTCGAGTTTCCAGCAAAAAAGCCGCCGGCCCCCGATGGTTTTGACACCGACAGAAGCCAGAATCTTTTCGATCCTTAAAGAACTTAGGAAAGTCAAGGATAAAGATGGGAGTTCTCTTGTCGCACCATTCGAGAGACTGCCAGATAAGATGGTCGTCCCAGACTACTACCAGATAATTACAAACCCCATGGCATTGGACAGCATCAAAACGAAGGCGAAGCGAAAAAAGTATCAGACGGTTGACCAGGCGCTATCAGACCTGGAGTTGATGTTTGAAAATGCGAAGCTATATAACGAAGATGATAGCGAGGTGTTCGAAGCTGCTGTAAATCTGCAGCAGCAGGCTCGGGTACTGGCAGAGCAGGAAAAGATGAAGCCAGATGATGATTTCCGAGATGAGGACGGCAGGCTTCCCCTAGCAGGCATTGACTATGGCGGAGAAGTCTGGAAAGTTGGTAAGTGTCATTCCTCTGCTGCGTGCTCTCTTGTCCTTTGTGCCTCTGCACTTTGGCTTACGTTGTGATTGTTGAAAGGCGACTGGGTGCACATTCGCAACCCCAATGACTTGGCAAAACCCATTGTTGCTCAAATATTCCGCACATGGCAGGACCGTGAGGGCCAAAAGTGGATTAATGCCTGTTGGTACTACAGACCGGAGCAAACGGTCCATCGATACGAAAAACACTTTTACGAGCGCGAAGTGGTGAAGACAGGCCAATACCGCGACCATCCGATTGCAGATGTCATTGACCGCTGCTACGTTATGTTTGTCACGCGATTCAACAAAGGCCGCCCCCGAGGACTCTCCCCAGACAAAGATGTCTACGTCTGCGAATCTCGATATAACGAAGAAAAATTCCACTTCAACAAGATCAAAACATGGGCAAGCTGTGTTCCAGATGAAGTACGAGATAAAGACTATGAGATGGATTTATTTGATATTCCCCACCAGATGAAGAAGATACCCAGCCCAATCAAGCATCTCCTGCGCGACGATGCCAAGGAAACAGATGAACTTCCGCGGCCTACATGGGGAAGCCCGAATGCTCCACCCATAATTGGCGCCGTCCATCGTCGACCACCAGGACCGAATGTAAGTTTCAGTATTGCTATGTGACGCCCTACGTGCCATGACTAACGCGGTTTTACCCATTCTAGGAATCACCGCCTCCAGATATGATGCTGCCTGCAATGCCTGTCATGTCCAAGATTCCTCCAGAACCAGCTCAACGCCTCCCAACCAACCCGGCGGCTAAGGACGCTTCGAGTGAGGCCGCGAGAAACGGTGCTGTCCCTTACTCCATGGTTGGCGCAATACCAGCTCCGAACCAGTATTACGGGCATATGCCACAACATTTCCAGCCGGTCAATCCGACTGCCGGGTCAAATATACCGCAGACGCCTGTCCCTATTCCTCATCCACCGCAACAGACTCCTCCTGCGCATATGCAGATGCGATCAGTGCAGTATCAATATCAGCCTCAGCCCGCATACATGCAAAATTATAACCCAGGCTTTGCTCAATCACCGGTTATACCTATGCATCATCAACAAATGCCAAATCCTCGGCCTACGGGGTACATGCAAGGCCATGCTGCCACAGTACCCAGACCACCAGTAATGGGTACACCTAGCGCCGTTCAGGCACATGCTAACATGTACAATCCGCCACGGCCCCCTGAGGTTTATACGTTACCAGACAACATCAATGAAACCTTGCCCGAGACGATACGGCGCGAATTCCAGCATGACGATGCGGGAAGGGTTTTGTTCTTTTCGGCTGCTCCTCTTGATCGCTCTTGTGGCGGCCTGTCGCCAGAAAGCGCGGGACTTGGACATAGCGCCAAATACCTGGCTGGGCGGGAGACTTGGTTAGCTGAACGCGAAAAGAAGCGAAAAGACCGAGACGAAGCGCTGCATGGCCTGCGAGAAAAAGTACTTCGCATTGAACAAGGCCCTGACGAGTCTCCAGTCGTCTCACAAGCTACTCGCGCAATCGAGATATTCTTTGAGCAACTCAACCAGGAGACTGAACAGTTGAAAGGTGACATTGGGTTAGAAGTTTAGACCATGGTTATTGGAAACGACTTGGGCGTGATAATTATCTGAGTCCGGAAAATTGAGGCGGGCGGAGTTTGGGAGTCCCTGGTTCACGCTATATTATCAGGTTTCATGAAAACATTTAAAAAGGAGAACCATGTATTTCGGGGCTCAGATAGCAACAACGGGCGGTACGGCTTACATGAGTGGATTGTCGTGACCTTCACAGAGTTATTTATCCACGTTCCCGCTTTACTATATCACAATTTAGCCGCGCGATTGCTACTCTTTCTGCCATGGCTTCTGTTCCCTCCTACTGTCCCTACTTCTGCTACTCTGACGGCTGGATTACCCAAGAACTCAAAACCTCTACGCACCCAAGTTTCAGTATCGGTCGACACTATGACTCTGGATTTATAAGCAAACAAAATATCGAAGCGAGTATACCGTATGCTGGGTCCGGCGCAAAAGCGTATGAAATCATTGCACTTAGGCATCAAAGCATTTCGTAGCGATCGAGGTGTCAAGGATGAAGCTGTTAAAAAACATGAGTGAATTTTGAACCACTCGCAAGATCTCTATCGGTACAGGATTTGAATAGCTTGAATATAGCTTGTTATATCTTGCCTATTGGAGTGTTGGAAAGAGGGACATAAAAGCGATGGCAGGAATAGAAGCAATAGCAAAACTGACAATACTAGTAGCATGGTTGGAAAGAATGACAGGGTTGGAGTTATTTAGCCAAAGGTACCTGTATGTATGAGAATTGGTAGGCTAGAGCACGAAAGGCAGTGAACAACTTTGTTCACTCATCATGTGTTCATTGTTACGCCTATTGAGAGATATAGGTGTTTCTACAATCAAAACCTTCGTGGTGGTTTACAGTAGGCCTTCAAGTCCGTGCCTTTGTTTCAAGCTGAAATCGTCCTGTGCAGCTACAAGGGGCGGCTACTGCGAGAGCGAGGTGGCTCGAGGAAAACTCGGCCGTGTTTCCGATGCATTGCCACACCAAACCATAAGCCTGGGGCTTGAAGGACTTTAGCTGCCCAAGCATCTACCAAGCATCTACCTTCGCGTTTAGGCGCGTCTTGCAGGGGATCCATGCTCAATAGCCCCAACCGCGGATCCAGCGTAGAATGAATGGCAATACAACTCATTGGGATGGGTGCCACTTCTCTTATCACGCCACGAGGTATGTAGGTGTGCCTCGGCCGGCAATATAGAGCCGTTCTTATTCCGTCTTCCCTAGAATGTGCTGTACTTCATCTGTACAGGCTGCTACCCTGTGATCCGAAATCGCTGTCATCGGCCGTTTGTAAGTCTCCCGGCTAGGACTCAGGTTCCTTCGAGGATTTGTGGTATCAGTGCTATGTAGCTTCCAATGAGATTATACTTGGAAATATCAATATTTCTGGCTGCTGGGAGTCATGTCACACACTTTTTTACTGCCAAAACTATCCGCTCCAAGCATGTGTGAATATCGGAATAAGCGTCCACGCCTTCTGCCGCGATATTCAGTAGTACCTTGCTAGCACTTGTGTCGCTAGGCTGCTAAGATTCGTCTGGTACCTACCTAGTCACTGTCTTAATTCCCCATGAGACCAGAAAGCAAAGACAGCGATTTGATCGTTGCTGCGCTTCTCCCTGCCTTGGGCGAGTAGTAGCCTTAGTAGTACGTACTAGGCATTGGTATTTGATGGTGTTCGATTACATAATATGCCGAAACATGGCAGACATGCTGCCTATCCTGGAGCTATGCCGTAATAGCACTACATCCTTCTAGTGATTTTCTCCGGTGACCCAAACAATTCCCACTGCAAAATCCCATCTCCGAGCCATGAGATACATGGACGCTGGTGCGTGGACCTAAGCAAAGCTCTCGTTCCTGAGAAGTGGCACTCGTTTCCGCGTTTTTGCGCTCTTGTCCAGCGCACTTGTCCGAGGGATGCGCTTCTGGACCCTCGCATAACAAGCACACTAGCTGCCGCACGTTTACTCGATCGACATCTTTCCAAGGGATCGCCACCACCGAGTTCCAGCCGTGCGGCCTCTCATTCGCATCTGCTTAGTCCGCAACATTTTGGGCGAGCTCCATCTCGAGGATCACTACCGCAGCACAAGGCTCAGCTCATCCCAGCTCTATACATACCCCGCGCAACAACGCCTGCTTACTCTCGGATCAAACACCTCCTTCTTGCCGCCCCAGCGAAACGGAAGCAGCGTGAAGATCAAAGCCGGCGCTCGCCTTCACCACCGGCGCTATTCCCACAACGCCCTCTTCGCCCTCTTCGCCCTCTTCGCCCTCTTCGCCTCTTCCTCTCCGACTACCAGAGGTCGACAAGCCTCGGGTGCCTGGATAGATGCTAGCATGATGGAGGGTTTCTACCAGTCAAACCAGCTATCTCCAGAGGAGGACCAGCAGCAAACACATGCCCAGCCCGGCGTCCTAGGGATGTCGATTTCAGACGCTGCAATCCAGCCTCAGCAGCTGCAATCTGCGCTCAGTAACCATATGATCGCCAACCAGACGGCTATGCCCGGCGACCACATGGGCGATGCGATGCGCCACCATGATATACAGAGACGAAGAAGTATGCCGCCCAATGCCCACGGAAACCCCATGATCTCCGCGCCACAGGATCCTCCGCCTCGCCGCATGTCAACCATCAGCCCCGGAGACATGATGGGATTCGACACTCGAGCACCCGATTTCAGCAGCTATCAGTTTGACCCGGAAATACCTGCCAACTTCCCCGACGTCGACGCCAGCGTCGGGATGCAAGATCAGATTGGCAGTTACATGGCGGACACCGGCAGCTTCCCTTCTATATCCCAGGATATCATGGGCACAATGATGCCAACTCAATTTGCGAGTATGGACATGGGAGGGATAACAGCCGAACCTCAAGCTATGGGTCTTTTCTCTGGGACTGGAGGCCAAGTTCCCGGTCTAACTGCCTCGCCTATCATTGGCCAGCTGAACGCAGGGCAGTTTGCGCCGGGCGATGATGGCTTTGCCATGACTGGAGATCCCAATAGCGCATCGCTTGGAGTTCGCCCAAATAGCGGCCCAGACGACACGGGTATGGGCCGTGACGAAAATATGATAAACAACTCCCTACATCAATTCGCGCCGATGAATACCGGCCAGTCTCACATAAACGTTGAACCTGGCATGAGGGGATTTGCGCCAAACATGTCCTCTCCCCTACATGGCCATCTACCAGTCATGCCCACCCAACAAAATGCTTCGCCAATGGACATGACTCGGCCAAGTCCCTCTAGCGGTGCGACTCCTATCAGCGATCAGTCAAAAGAAAGGACCATTTACTCCAAGAGTGGTTTCGATATGCTGAAAGCGCTATGGCTAGTTGCCACTCGAAAGGCCCCAAAAATCCACCTGGGCGCTGTCGATATGTCTTGTGCCTTTGTCGTCTGTGATGTCACGATGAATGATTGTCCCATTATATACGTATCTGATAACTTCCAGAATCTCACTGGATACAGCCGCCATGAAATTATTGGACAAAACTGTCGCTTCCTTCAAGCACCCGATGGAAAGGTTGAAGCCGGATCAAAGCGAGAGTTTGTGGACGACGGAGCCGTGTTCAACCTCAAAAGAATGATTAAGGAGGGCCGCGAAGTGCAACAGAGCTTAATCAACTACCGCAAGGGAGGAAAGCCCTTTCTTAACCTCTTGACGATGATACCTATACCCTGGGATACTGATGAAATAAGATATTTCATCGGCTTTCAGATCGACCTTGTTGAATGCCCTGACGCCATCTCTGGTCAAGAAATGGGAGGCGTCAAGGTGAACTACAAGCACAGCGATATTGGCCAATATATATGGACTCCACCACCATCTAATCATTTGGAATCCGAGAACGGCCAGACACTTGGGGTGGATGACGTTTCTACCCTCCTTCAGCAGTACAATCCGAGCGGGCTCGTTTCAGATTGGCATAAACAGTCGTGGGATAAGATGCTTTTGGAAAATGCTGACGACGTCGTCCACGTTATATCACTTAAAGGACTCTTCCTTTACCTATCGCCTTCCTGCAAACGTGTTCTCGAATACGATGCCGCTGACCTGGTTGGAAACTCTTTATCCTCTGTTTGTCATCCTTCAGACATTGTTCCCGTCACGCGGGAGCTGAAAGACGCAACGGCGGGCACTCATGTCAACATTGTTTTCCGAATACGGCGAAAACAAAGTGGATATACGTGGTTCGAAAGTCACGGGTCTCTATTTGTCGACCAAGGCAGAGGGCGCAAATGTATCATCTTGGTCGGCAGGAAACGGCCAGTCTTTGCTCTCAGTAGGCGTACCTTGGAGGCTAATGGCGGCATTGGCGACAGCGAACTCTGGAGCAAGCTGTCTACATCTGGCATGTTACTCTCAACTTCGACAAATATTCGGTCACTTTTGGACTTACAGCCTGAATCGTTGATTGGGACAAGCATCCAAGAGTTGATGCGGAAAGAGTCACGAGCTGAATTCGGACGCGCGATTGAAAAGGCGAGAAGAGGGAAAATATCTACCTGCAAACATGAAATGCTCAATCGGCGAGGCCAGGGCCTCCAAGCTCAAACCACTCTATATCCTGGGGATGCTCTGGAGGGTCAAAAGCCGTCTTTCCTCCTGGCCCAAACAAAGCTCTTGAAAGCATCATCTCGCCATATTCCTTCATCTCTAACTGCGGGCAGCTCACTATTTGTCACCAACCGTCTGCATAACCAGGGAAGCCTTAGCGGCCAAGTTTCACAGCCAGCAGGTGGAGCACTCCCACCTGGATCTCAAGATGCTGCTCTTGCGTCAGACGACAATATTTTCGATGAACTCAGGACGACAAAATGTTCAAGTTGGCAATTCGAGCTTCGGCAGATGGAAAAAATCAACCGAATCCTGGCAGAGGAGCTTGGCGGCTTGCTGTCAAACAAAAAGAAACGGAAGAGGAGAAAGGGGGTTGGAAATGTAGTTCGCGACTGCGCCAACTGCCATACTAGAAATACTCCAGAGTGGCGGAGGGGACCGAGTGGACAGCGAGATCTGTGCAATAGCTGCGGTCTACGCTGGGCTAAACAGGTAAGAATCCGGCAGCTCACAGAATGCAATGTGATGATGAGACTAATTAAGTTGTCAACTAGACCGGAAGAGTATCTCCGCGCAATTCTACGCGAGGTGGTCATACCGGAAACACCGATTCACAGAGTAAGAAGTCAACATCTCCAGTCCACTCTTCGCCTCTACACAGGAGCGAAACTCCGAATCCAACTCCCAGCAACGGCGAAGGTACCCTTGACCTCGCGCAACTCGCGCATAAGACGGCCGCTGCAGCTGCAGCCGCCATCAGCACAGGCTCAATATCAATAGCAGGACAGCATCCCGCATCAGCAATGCCGCCTCCAAGTCAATCATCTTTAGCTACTGGGACTATCAGTTCAGGAATGGCTTCAATACGAGAAGAGCGAGAAAGTAGTCAAACTTAAGCAAATCAACTTGACTCAACCCGCTATTCTCTGAACGAGTTCACGAAACGGCTTATTCAGTCAGAAATCTTTCTCTTATGCGAAAGCTGGCACTCTCCGTCTCCTGCAACTTCCCCCTATTTTTTTTTTTTTTTTTTTTTTTTTTTTTATATTTTTTTATATTTCAAGCTATTGCAAATGATAACTACAATGTTTTTTTTGGAGCACTTTCATCTTATGAAATGATGGCAAGCTTTCACGACCACGAAATGGTTTTATATTTTCTTCAAAAGACACGCCCTTTTCTTTTCTTTTCTTTATCTTTTACTTTTAGGTCTTGGAACAACTTGGGCTTTGGAACAGATGGATTATTTCATGTAACGGCGGATATAAACGATACCACTTGTACATCATGGTGCTTGTATACTACATTTTTGTTTCTTGCGGTAAACCCGCTTTCATTTGGTTACACGAATTAACTAGATAACGCATTCGAAACCCTGTTTTGAGCCGTTGGTTGGTATGATGCACGTTGTTAAATACACGATTACAATGTGCACATTTAGAGGCGAAATAAAAATCATACAACGCGTGCGAATTCGTGCGTTGCGCATCATGAGCAATCATCATGAGCAATCATCATGAGCAATCATCATGAGCAATCATCATGATCTACTATATATTGTGCGCAAGTGCTACTTTAATATCTCCAAGAACTCATCTAGTTCGATAACACGAAACTTGCCATTCCATTGAGATGCCCATTGTCTATCAGTCCACCTCAGGGAGAGGCTGCTCTTCCAGGAGATGACTTCAACATTCCAGCCCATCCGTAGCGCACGCTGCATATATGAGAAGAAGCCATCCGAGTGTACAGCCGGCTTCGCATCCCCGGTAGCCAAGACTATTGTGCCGGGATTATGAAAATGCTCCATCACAGATTCGGCAATGCGCACCTGTAGCGTCTCATCTACAAGGTCTTCTACATAACGAAGTGTCTCAGGCGCCTTTGCTGAGAAAAGCCCGTCGTTGACCCTTTTGCGTTCTCTTAGATCAATGTGGTACCCCAACTCTCGCAGCTGCTGCACATATCGAGGTTCTGAACGTCCTGGAAGAGTAGAACAGCACACATTGAGGGCTGTCACTGGCCGATCTCGGATCAGAATTTTGGTTAGAAGCTCTAGGTTTAGGTGAGGCATAGGTGAGAGACGGGAGCTTTTGTGGATGGATCGACTCTCTTTTAATGTGGTCTGGTACCCAATATCGATATTGGACATGTCGACGAAAACATGGATGCCCTGGGATGTGATGTCGGGGTAATTTTGTGCCATGGAAGCGTCCCGGGTGCGGTAAGGGACAAGACCCATCATGAGCGCCCGGTGCTTCTTTTCGATGAGCAGAGACTCTCCGCTCACGCGACTCGAGATTTTATCCATTTTGGATTGAACCAAGCACTCCGGGCACTCGAAATGCGATCTTGTTAGAATGACAGACTGTTCGACAACCCGATGTCCCCTGTCGCAGAGAGAGGCTTGGTATGATGTGCCATGATCTACAGCCGTCGAGGCCGCTGTAAATGACGATGATGATGTTGATGACGACAATGACGCCGGCTCTGAAGATGAAGGAACACTGGTACTGTGCTCGTTTGCAAAGATGGACTGTACGTCACGTCGGAGATTGTATCTGACAATGTTGGACTGCGGTCGTTGGGCAGAGGCATCTTGGGTACGGATCGTCCGGCTGGTACTATCGTGAAGCGATTGCTCAGAGGCATGTTCCAGGGCTCTTGAAGGTAGCCTGCTGGCCTGAGGGGTAATCAGGCCTCGCGGAAGGCTTCCATCTTCACTGTAGCTGCTCTTCTCCAAAATGTCGGAAGCAGAATCTGTTCTGTGCTGAGCGGGATGTAGGAATTCGGAGAACAGCTTGCTGAAGTCTCCAAGCTTTATCGGCTTGTCCGAGGTATCGGGTGTAGCTTTGCCATTGCGTGACTGATTAGCAGTCTTGGTTCGGTCTATGTATTGTATATCTGAAGTGTCAACCATGGACGCATAGAGGAAGAGAGAGAGGTATTATAGAAAAGAGGTGGATAGGATGGAAGCATAGATAAGAACTGCATGGAGATTTATGCTGTATGGTCTATGGTTAGGAGGATGAGAAATGACTGACAAGGAATGGTAGATGTCACTATGTCACTAGCCGGTTGATATAGAGCGTGCTAAAAATACTCCGTGGGGCGATCGATGTACAGCATTAATTAACACGAAATCTTCAAATGGATACAATATCGTATGCATGTATTTTAATGTCAGCAGTCGGCGGAGTGTATTGTACTTGTTGAATCCAGAATATCAACAACTATCAAAGTATTCCTTGTTTTATCATCCCATCTTCATGTACCGCATGTGCAACTCGCACTGCAGGCACCTGCCACTGTGGAGCCCCCAAGGCAGAGAGCATGTGCTTCTAGTATTTCTGGTACGTACCTTGCACATGCGCAGCCCTATGACATACCTCGACGGTCAGTTAGTACACATGCAGTGACAACCTTGCTTGTTGAACCTCACAACGGCATCTTGCTCCATCAACAGCCATGGAATCGAACATATCTGACCTTGGACGATACCCCCGGAAAATCATGCAGATGTTTTGGGACCCCGAGCCAGCCAACGATGTGAACAGTGACCAGCCTGTTTGGTGTCTGGGCCGCTCTTACAAGCTAGACGTCCCCAGCTCCAGAGCTGCAAGCAAGACGGCGTCCGTGAGCCACGATGCACCAGAGTCTAGTACACCAGATGCCGCTGTCGCCTCGCCCCCGGCCCTCCGCCCTCCGCCTGTAGCCAAAGCGCCAGTAAATGCGCTCGGAACGCCGCCGGCGTCCACCTCAAGCAGCTTCACATCGGCTGTAGCTGAGGAGGAGCCGCCTCCGGGAAGAGGATGGCCCGCAGGATTCGTCGAAGACATGTCATCTAAATTTTGGATGACTTATAGATCCGGCTTTGAGCCTATACCAAAATCTATTGACCCAAAAGCTGCATCTGCGCTTTCATTTTCCATGAGGATCAAGAGTACGCTTTCAGATTCAGCCGGCTTCTCTTCCGACAGTGGCTGGGGTTGCATGATTCGTTCTGGGCAGAGCCTACTCGCCACAACCATCGGCATTTTGCGGTTAGGTAGAGGTGCGTTTTTGTCACAACAGATGTTTATTTGAAGAGTCTGTCTAACTCGAAGCGCTCAAGACTGGCGGCGCGGCCAATCCCAAGAAGAGGAACGCCATCTTTTAAGCATGTTCGCCGACGATCCAAGAGCCCCATATTCCATTCATAACTTTGTACGCCACGGGGCCACAGCTTGTGGAAAATACCCGGGCGAGTGGTTTGGTCCATCTGCTACTGCTCAGTGTATTCAGTACGTTGACTGTACCTAGCATTCCTCAAACAGACGACGCCGCTGACATTGGGATACAGAGCTCTTACAAGCTCATCAGGACTTTCTCTAAATATATACTCGCCTAATGATGGCCAGGACGTTTACGAGGATAGCTTTATGAAGATCGCAAAATCCGATGGACAAACATTCAATCCGACTTTGATACTCATACGGACGCGCCTCGGCATTGACAAAATCACTCCAATATACTGGGACGCACTGATTGCTGCTCTCCATATGCCACAGTCTGTTGGTATTGCTGGGTATGTTGTGTTTCATTTTGGCGCTGAAAGTGCTGTAGCTAATATCCCTTCTCTAGCGGCCGCCCTGCATCTTCTCACTACTTCGTGGGTAGCCAAGGGAACTACCTATTTTACCTGGATCCTCATCATACGCGAAAAGCAATTCCATATCACGATGATGTAACCAAATATACCGAGGAAGACATCGAGTCATGCCATACCTCTAGGCTGCGTCGCATTCACATCAAAGAGATGGACCCGAGCATGCTGATAGGCTTTCTTATCCGAACTGAGAGTGACTGGACTGAGTGGAGGCAGAGTGTAGAGAACGTCCAAGGGAAAACCATAATCCACGTGGCAGATCATGAGCCTGTGCTGTATAGCGGCGAGGGCAGAGATGGCGCGGTGGATGAGGTTGAGCTATTGAGTGACGATGACGATATGACGGCAACCTAATGGTGTGTATGATCGAGAGCCGTCCTTGATAGCTGAGCACTTACATTCAGTATAGATGCATATCTTGGGACTTTATATCGACGACGACATTCGGGTCAAGAGTGTTTTGTTCTTCCTCTACTCCGACTTGGTTTTAATTCCATAATTTCCCAGACGGCGCCATGTCAAGGCTCCGGTTCACAAATTCGATATGTCAGATGACATAAGTTCATCTCTTCTTCCTGTTGCCAATATCGCTAGATACGCTAATATGGGCAGCGTGCCCGAAATCACGAATATGTTTGAACAGCTTTGTTTTAGAATCAAATTCAGCCGTGCAGACACTACATCGATGCTGTGGCAACATGGTTAGTACGTTTCAGAATCAATTGGACTGTGTGCATTGGATACCTCATTTTCGGCTGCCAGAGCAGCGGCAGCTTTCTTCTGGCGTTTGAGTCTGGCTTTTCCCACTTTGCTTTTCGATTTCACGTCCTCAGCAGAGTTATTTTGGGGGTGTTTAGAAGAATAATCAGATATCTCTTCGCCAGGGTCAATAGATGTTGATTCTTCTTTGGTTGACTGGAGATTTAGCTTCTGAAATGGCTTGTCGAGTCCCTCTTTGATATGTTTTGCGCTGTAGTCCGCTTCTGACGCATCCCGACTTGGTGATGCATCTGTCTTTGTAGATGCCTCTTGCTCATCATCATGGATACTTGTTTGCTCCGTTAAAGAGGACGTAGTCTCCATGTCCATATCAGCCTGGTGATCCTGCGCATCTATACTTACAGTCTGCACGTCTCGGTCATCCTTCAAGAACGTATCGGGCGTATTATCAGTGCTCGAAGCATCTAAATCCAGGTTTGCCGTTTCCTTTTTCATCTGCCGGCGTAACTCTTGAATGGCCCTGAGGTGCTTCTTGCTACGTTCATGAGATTCGAACTGCTTTTCGCTTTTGAATCTTTTGTTACATGCCACGCATTCCAGAATCTCAGCTTCAGATTCCCCAGTTTCGGAATCTTGCTCATCCACCTTATCTTCGCTGGCCTGGACCCATTCTGGCACTTCAAATGACGAGTAATTTTGATTGTTGGCAGCTCGTGATCGCGCGGCCTGGGCAGCGGCGGCGGTCCGGAGGGATTTATGGCGATCTGCCTCGCTCTGCGAATTTGGAGTATAGCGAGGGTCTCGTTTTCGGACAAACGAGACTAGGAATCGAACGGCATCGGTAAATTCTCGAATAGCGTCATCTCGGATCTTTTTGTTTTCCTTCTCCATCCAACGCCTGGTCCTGCGGTCTGGAGCATCTGAAAGGCGATATTTGTCTTCCCACATGAACGATTTCCTCGTGCTGAAGCCATTCCAGGCGTTGTAGAACGGCCTGACGACGGTATCGAAGCTACTGCTTGACAAGCCAAATGTGGGATACTCGGGGCATTCAGTGCCCTCGTAGTCGGCGGCAGCTTCTTCCTCCAGAACCAAGTGTTCGAACGTTTCTCTTACAATCCAGTAGAATCCATCTTTGTCATCCGTGTATGGGACTGTGGAGTTGAATCGAGAGATGAGGCGCATAATATCATCTGCGGTGGTGAGGCGCACGTTATGGAATGTTGCAGGCGTGGAAGAGACATCGCTGGGGTCATGCTGGCCACTCAAGATGCTCTCGCGGTGCGAGTCGTACCAAGCTCTTTCTTGAGGGTCGGACAAGATGTCATAAGCGGCCTGCACATCGGCAAACTTTCTAGTGGCTGCTTCCACATCGTTGAAGTTGCGATCCGGGTGCAGTTCTAGGGCCTTCTTGCGATATGCTTTTTTTATTCTACTTGCATTTAACGTGTGAAAAGCCTTTACGTTTTCAGATTTGGCTTACTCGATATCAGTGGCAGTCCTGTCAACTTCCAGAAGCTCATAGTAGCACGTCCTCTGAGGTTCCCCAGCGTCGGCACGACGAGATTCCGAGTTCGAGGACTGTTCAGCCCCCATGGTAATTACCTATGAGCTTTATTGGAAGAGTGATTATTGGTCAATGCATAGACTTTCACAGCGCATGGAGCAAACATAAGTAGAAGCCGTAGATGGCGGCAATATGCCGATTTATAAAAATAGAATAAATCTTAGTATGCATGTTTAAATGCTGGGTCGAGATAAGATAAAGGTAGATCGGCCTAGTGCACCCTTGTAGCTTCGGCTTTGGTAGCTGCGCGCGCGTTGAGTCACTGCTTTACGTTGGCATCAACAACTCTTCTCTACAAAGAGCACACGAAGAATATTGCTCAGCATGGCGCCACTCACACATTCTGAGTCACACCCCGGCAGTGCCAAACCGAATTCACGTTCATGGACATCACGACCTACCACTCCACTGCGCCCCTCTTCTCGGTCATCGCTACGCGGGTCGCTTCATTCGGCAAACAATGCAGAGAATGCATTTCCTCTCAAGAGGCTAGAGCCGGCATTTGCCGAGCTTTCCGATGCCATGGCCGATCTCGAGGCAAATATGATGCACTTCCAGCTTATAGATGAAAGCTTGGCCAGATTTGGTGAATCGTTTGCCAGCTTCCTTTATGGCCTTAATATGAACGCCTTTTGCGTTGACTTTCCCGAGGTGCTGCTTTGCTACTAAAATTCCAACTATATTAAAAGTAACTTGTTCTGATCTGTCTTCTGTTCTGTCCAGACTCCCGTCCCCCAGTCATTCAGCCGAAGTCGCCCGCATCCTACGCAAGCCAACAACGACCCACGACCAGCACATGACGGAGAAACAACTTATATGTCCGTCATCTCTTGATGCAGAAAAGCTGAAGCATTCCCTCCATTCTAACAGCTGAATAGGACGACCGCGACCGACGTATCGTTTGTTGAAAGCCCTCCGGAATCGACAGCGCCCAGTCTCAAGCGCAGAATACCCGCGCCGCGCCAGTCCCGTCTGCCATCAGCACGAGGTAGTTCGACAAGAGGCAGAGCTAATAGCCGCCGCTCTAGACGGGCCAGTGCTATTGGAAGACCTCGTGGACGAATTATAAGATAAAAGGGACTTCGAGTGAAGTTCAGTGCTGATTTATAGAGTCCTTTCCCATATACCATATACCCCACGACCTAAAGAGACTTTGATTACAGTTTAAAGAGCCATCTCAATACCAGTATCCATCGTGGTATCCTCAACCAGGCCACTCTTCTCTGTGCTGGTGCTTTTGGACTGTCCGGATTCGTCTCGCAATTGTTTTAGCCTTGCAAGTTGGTCAGTAAAGCAGCGAGACACTCGTGCGAGTATAGAGATTGCGTAGATCTACCTTCGCTTGTGCGGCTTTCCTCGCTCGTGGGCCGTCAAAGTGGAAGGCGCTTCAAACCATCTAGAACAGGCGACACAGTAGTTTTTACCAAGCCCAGGAAGATCTTGAGAAAGCTTCGTGTTCTTGTATTGCGTTAGGTGCTTCGCGGATCGGAGATCAGATATGATTTGATCAAGATCACTTGTTGAAAATCAGTTCCAGAAGACCAGTATGATAACGTTTAGTAATTCAGGACAGCCATACCGCGTCTTGCGCCTTGTTTTCGTGAGCGTCCGTTTGTTCCCGACTCCCATTGTGTATGTAGGTTGCGATCAAGAGATAAGGTTATCAGCGTTGCCGGACGTGGACCTGGGGAGGCCGAAGGGAAAAAGAAGCAGAAAAAAAAAAAGGATTGATCGCCGCTATGTGTGACACAGGGATCAGTGGAAATATGTCAAGGTTGGAATTATACGAATATCTGCTAAGCGGCAAAGCAAAAAAAAAATAATGTGCACCAAAAATCTGATTTCAACGATGCTTGTACAAAATAACAATTATATTATATGTATTTCCATGAGGAGCTGCATTGCTTTCTATGGCTTCGCTATTTCAGAAAATTCCCTGCAGAACCGCACATGACTAATCGCCCTAGCCGTAGTGTCTTAGCTGCTGTTAGCGCCACAATGTTTTGGTTGTAAAAACAGTGCGTGGCGCTAACTGCTAGGATCCCAATTTTGACTCTGAGCTGTTGGGCAAAACGGGATGTTGTATCAACGTCAAGCCGGCTTGTATTCGATCAGCAAGCTAATCTACTCCTCTCAGTCAAGCTCATAGGATATCCCACGCATCCTCAGCCGCATGGCAGAACTTGCTGCATGCTACACTTGCTGATAGCGAAAAATTGCTGATGGAAATCTTCTCATCAACTATTGAGTCGGCAAAAGTATCGGCTCCTTTTGCCATGGCTCCAACGAACACGCAAATGCTCTCTTTGGGGTTCAAAGCCTCCATGTACTCACGCACGCGAACTACTTCCGCATCAAAACTAAGAGTTACTTTCCGGCAATTTGGTGGTAAGTGATCTGTAATTGGATTCTGAATCACACGTAGAAGCTTCTCGTTTGAAGTTGTGGAGCGAATGGAGAGACGATGCAAAAGCTGCACCATGAGGCCTGCGAATCGCTTGAAAGTCCGGGGAATGCGGACAGAGGGGGATACCTCGATCAGCACGCCTTTGGCTGTATGGATGTAAATCTGGAGTCTGCCGGCCTTGTTGATTGGTGAGTCCAGGAGGGTCAGTAGACACTGCGATAGTTAGTACGATGTTTCCGATGTTTCAGGTCCAAATGTACGCAACCTGATGCGCGATGTCCGGTCGTGCATCGCTAATGTCACGGTTCATCTTCCGCATGACGCCTATATGCTCATCGCTGTTGAGAAGCGAGTATTTCTCCTCTCGGTGGATACCCGCACGGGTGACACCACCTTGAACGGCCTTGTACGTCTCGAGGCTAGCATTTGACAGGACGACAATCAATCGCTGGGTATCTTTATCAGTGACCGGGATAGGTGTCTTCTGCTCCGCGACCAGTTGCGGCAGAGACGGCGGTGGGAGCGACTGAGTTCCTGTAGAGAGGCCATCGCCACGATTAGCCATTCACCCACAAAGGTGATAAATGTTGGATGGAATGATAATTACTGGGCCGTTTCATGCCAGCGCGACGATCGGGGGACGACATTGCCTAAATATTAATAAGTGATACGATCTAGATGCTATGTAAGAAAACACGATAAAATTGGTTATCATAGCCAATGGCAAAAAAAAAGAGTCACAGATAAAAAAGAAGGATCACGTGGCTGAAATTTTCACCCCTGGTGTTGGTTGCCATTTTCTTACGCTAAATTACAGTGTGCGGCACTAATAGCATGCATTGGGAGCCTTGAACGCCTGTGTTATTATAGAATTTAGGAGATATCACCATATTCCATAAATTCACACAATGTCCAGGTGCTATATCATGGCAGAGACAGCGTGATTGTACTTAATCGGACATGTGCGCGACGATGTAAATAGAAGGTTACGAGATACGGTGCCTATGCATATCTAGGTAGACGTACTGTATTGATTAGAGCGTCCTCTGCCATCTGATTCCGCGATGTGAAAGCCGCAGTGTTCGTAGTCGTCTTCTGAGTACATTGCAAGTAGGTATCTATTCTGTAAATTTCAAATTTATATGGCTGTCTTGATTATAACCGCTCACATCCTAACTAGTGACCTATTTAAGGTTTATCCTTACATTCAAGATAGCTGTCATGAGTACAAATCCGCTATCCGATATAACTTATTGATATTCCTCCTCGCCGACAGATATTCCGCCCTCTTATTTCATTATTTATTCAGCCCGCAGCAAGGTATTGGCAAATGTTTGTTTAGCATTTTCAAACTTGTCAAGCGCGCCATTTTTGTATCAGTTTGACTGGTTATCAGCCAGTTGCAAATCAGGAATGAACCTTTGCTCTCTATCGACCAAACCACTACTAGCTGAAATAACCCATGATTGTTCGTTGTGATTCTGGAGAGAACTGCTGAAGCAATGGCATTGGGTCTACGTTTGCAGCCGTTAGAAGAGCTTTTGTTGCAGCCGCCACACGACTGGCCGTTTGTCCTTGAAGCGTCTCCGCTTCCAGGGCCTGGGCGATGAAAACGAATACTTTGCCAGCTTGGTTCATTACAGATGGGTATTGGCTATGAATCTGAGTTAGCCAGTGCTCTTTTGTCCAAATATCTTGGGTCCATGGAATTTTCGTAAATTACTTACCGATCAATCAGCTCTGCCAGGTATGCATACGCATAAGGTGCTGCTTCTTCGTCGTTTATGACTGGCAACGTGTCGATCCACTGGTTAATGGTAGTTGGAACGTCTTCCAGACTGGTGGAGTTGTAGTGAAGAATCTTAGCAATGGCAGCGCAAGCATTCTCTGTCGCATACACGTTATCTTCATTCCGAGCTTCAGGAACTTGCGTTACTTGGAAGAGAAACGGCACAGATCCGCCTAAGAATGGTGACCACGCGGCGCCGCCCCTATGTGCTGCGACGCCTATACCGTACGCAGCTGCCTGGCGAATTGCTGCAGAGGCATCTCTGCAGCCGTCAATGAGGGGCTGCTGAATGTATGTCGCGTATCGAATGCTTTGTGGGCCACAATACTCCAAAACATCGTCCATGATGCAAAGACCCCATTGGCGCTGTGTGGGATCCGGTGATGCGAGGAATCCTTCATAAGTGGGCATCAGACGTTCCCATGCTGGCAAAAACGCAACACCGTGGTTTTTAAAGATGGAATGGAACGCTTTGTTCATATCAGACAGAAGCGTTTGGTCATCTTCAATGGCGATAAGAGTCTCTTCTGCTTCGTCCTCTACGTCGTCAGCAGTGGCGCCTTCCTTGGCATCGGCACGCTCTGCCACCCGGTCTTTATAGTCCTCCAGTGCTGAAATAGCGGAGTCGATAAAGCGATTCATGTGATCTATCGTAAGGCACTCTTTACCCAGGACTTGGACAGACTCGTAAAAACACTGGTACATTTCTGCGAGTGTGTCGATGGCTGGCTCAGCAGTAAGCACCTCTAGTAGTCTGTCCACAGTGGCATTCCAAAGGCCGGTCAGCTCGCTTGAGGGGCTACCGTAAGCCTTCTTATAGGAGCTGAGCAGCTGCGGTACCAGCTTAGCTGAGATATAGCGAACGGGGTCGTGGAAGAAGAAGGAAAGGCCTGGCAGCGCAATCTTCTCCATGATGTTTGCAACAAAGGGGGCAAAGGCACCCTCAAGCACTTGAGCGTAGACAACCAAGAGTTCAATAGCCATGTTCTTGTCATCCATAGTGCTAGTACGGATACCGATCATTTTCCCCTTGAGCGGCACAAACTCCCAGCCTTCCTCTCCTTGCATCTGCTCGGCTTGCTCATCGTCATCTAGTAGTTGTATGTCCGGTTTAGCCATGGCGAGTTCGAGAAGCGGCGGCATAACGTTCTCTAGGAAAGGAATAAAGTCTGTGCCAAGAACACGGCACATACGACCCCAGCAGTGCATTAAGTACTGGGCCTGGGGGTCGTCTGCATCTGTGATGTTTGTTTGAATGTGTGCCAACAGATTCACAAGAGTCATGGCATCCTGACCAAGCCTCTCTTTGCCGACAGCAAGGGCAATTAGAGTTGCACATTCCATAGCTTTGGCTCGCAGAAGTCTGTACTCCTTCTCATTCTGATTTTGGAGCACATTTACAAGAAGAGGCATCAGAGTATCGTAATACTTTGCGAATGCCGCTTCGGCCGCATCAGCAATGGTTGCGATGGTGGATAAGGCTTGCTCCTGAACAAAGCGCTTCTCGCTTTGGAGTAATTGAAATAAGTGTGATAGAAGCTCATCCAAGTAAGGTTCCAGAATTGACTTCTCTGCTTCTTCACAAAAGTTGACCAGAGCAGCTGCGGCATGGGATTTTACTCGGGCCTCTGGTGAGTTTAAGACAGGAATGATTGCCTTCAAGATCCGATCGTAGAAATCGGTTTGCATTTTGGGGGCAAAGTCAGTACTCATTTGTCCCAGCGCATTGCAGCCAGCCCATCGCACACGAGGGTGCGGATCTTGAAGAGCAGGGATCACTAAATCAAGAACTTGACCAAGTTCTCCCATCATCAGGTCTCGGCAACCTTCTGAAATTGCAGAGATAGCCATGAGAGCAGCGTGTCGGTCCCTCCATGCCATGGAAGTCATCATTCTGGGGAGCCAGTTGAATGTAGGAGCAAGAATTGTCTGCCCTCCTAGTTTATTAGCAAGGCGGTCCATGGTTTGTTCTCCAGCTACATGATTCTGGTCGCTCTCGTCTGCTTCGAGCTAGATACTTGTATTAGCAAGAAAAGAATTCGTACCAACGGTTGTCAGAAACAACTCACATCATCAGATGACAGCCATTCAGCGGCATCATCATCGTCCTCGCCGAGATCAGTCATCAAGCTCAAGCATTGAGTAATCATATCCGTAGTATAAGACGCATCTTTTCGACACATAGATGGAGCGTAGTCAGCAAATGTAGCCATTAATTCCAATGCGTTCTGACGGCAAATTGTGTCCAACTCTTTGTCTTGGACAACAGAAATACTGAACTGAACGAGGTTGTGAAACAGAAGCTTGAACATCTTCGGTGCCGTCTCGGCCAGATCGATGAGTGCGACCAGGGCTTTGCTTAAGTCGTCCGAATCTTGAGAATCCTTGATGGGTGGGAGAATGTTGAGCACATCGGGAATGAGGGCATAGTATTTAGATTGCCCTTTCTTGCTGATCGTCCTGAAGAAGGATGCAAAGGCATCCATAGCTGCCAATCGAACCTACGCAAAGCTCCAGTCAGTAGGCTGCACCGCAGGTCGTGAACCGAATGATGTACCTGGACAGCGTCATCTTTGAAGCCTCTTTGGAAGGCTTGCAGAACCGCTTCTTCGTGCTGCTTTTCAATAATACCTGGCGTGGTGGCGAAGATTCTGTATGCGTTCTCTCGCCTTTCGGCTTCCAGAGCCTGGCTTAGTTGGAAGAGTGCTCCTAGAAGTTCGGGCCAAGAGTCATCTATCCAGCTCAGGGTATTAGTATCGAAGACGAAGGAAGCTGGGCACAGTATGAGGTGTGTATGAGGTGTGCATGAGGTGTGCATGAGGTGTGGTGTCCAGGGATACTGACTGTTGTCTGTATACTGCCGCGCGACTTCAGCAACAGCGTCACTTATTTTGTTGCGGACCGCTCGATCTGCTTCGGAGCCCAAGGTCTCTAGGAGTTTCTGTCGAATGACAACGGCTTGATCTTTCGCTAGCGAATAGAACAAATCTACGTTGTTTCCAGATTCGGCTTTTCGAGTTTTCGAGGCTATGCGTCTAAATATGACGGCCGCAAACGAACGAAGCTAGGCAGAGAGGTCAAAAAAAAGTTTGCGGCCCAGTAGTTGGGAAGTGGTTAGAACTTAAGGATTAAGACTTACCGCATTATCTGTACCGCCCTGTATCTGTTCCACGAGGCCGACTAAGAGGACCTCTGGGCGTGAATTCGTCCAGCTGTTTTGGAGGTGATCTTCAGCCTGAGATCGGATGCTGTTATCGGAGGCCTGAAGCGCCTGCAAAAGCTGCGTGAGCTCGGCATGCACGTCTGGGGGGAGGAGAGACATGGTTGCGACGGCCAACGGACGAGAACGCCGCGCAGTTATGTCGTGAAGATTTTTGGCAATCAGAGTAAGAAAGAAGATCCTTATCGCGGAGCTAGCGGCAGGACAAAAAAAAAGAGAAAAGCAGATAATACAGAAATCGAAGTTCTGTGGTGGGTGCAGGTGAGGAAGGTGGGGGAGGGGAAGGGTGTGTATAACCTTTGGGCGTGTGCTGAAAAAAATAGACCGCGATAGTGCCTAGGTAGGTACCTAACCTTTTCAAAGGCAAGGCTACTCGGATTGCTCAACGTAGAGGACTACGGTAGCTCAACAATAACGTACTGACAGCTATTGTGCTTATGAAAACTCTTCAGCTTAGTCTAAACATTGCAGCAGGATCCCCAGGACGCAAAGCTTTTGCATTCCAAGCACCGGTCGATCTAAGCTCAGTTGGAATTTACCGTGAGCCACTTGCGCAAGTGCGAGTGACAGATGAAGCGGGAGTAGTGGTTTGCGTTATCAAAACGGCAGTGATATTAAGTAAAGTGGACGAAATGTTTGTTCGATAAACAGGGGCACGCTTCTTCTTTCTATACTACTATGGCTTCAATAGACTACATGTCTAATCGCGCGAGCTTTTCCCTGGCGGTTACTCATTCGAGGAGTTCAGCATCTGCTAATCTGGGAACTTTATTTTGTTCATGGCCTACCAGGATAGGTAGCTAAGATCAGTGGAGCTACTGAGCTAGAAAGCAGCCTCTCGACGAATTGCCACTTGCAATACCCTGCTAGGCGGAGTACCTATGACCGCACCTGAGCTCTACCACTGTATTATGCGACGACTTAAATGGAGTAGAAAGTATATCCGGGGAATTACGTCTCTTCCTAGTCACATCGCCTGAGAACAGCGCATTGCTTTCGCTCCCTTCGCCTTTTCTCGACTGGATATTCTCCATGGAATCTTGCCTACCAACATGTAATGGATAAGGATGCGATAGTAGCGAAATCCAACATGTCTGTCAATACCGATGCAGAGAGGTCTACCAAGCCAGCCGATGTTAAATCGTCGTCGTCGCCCTCACCCCAAAGGTCACACTCGAGCTCGAGTACCAGCAGAGCGACCCATCGTCAAAGCTTTACAGAAAGTTACCGCAATCTCCCACCATCGCCCCGCTATCGCCACCCTTCCCTCACACAAGCGGCGATTCAGGATCTCGTCAATCACCCGCCTTCCACGAGCAGACACCAAAACCCCAAGTTCGTTGGCCGAGAATGGGGAGATATTACCATAGGGGAGCTTGTTTCTCTCGACGACGTAAGATGGACTGACATTGAATGCAGCGTGGAGGAAGCGACTTTGGTAAGTACCGACTGTTACCTGCGCTGTTGCTTAATCGTTTCATACTCACGCCGAAATCATAGATGCTGCTACAGAGTCCAACTAGCGTTGTTCTCGTCAAGGATGAAACTTCAGCTTCCAACCCAACGTTCTGTTTCGACTATAATGACTTGAACGCCTATCTTCTAACCGTCGTGGGGCTTGCTCGACCCGACAACCACGACATCATGGTCAAGGCCCAAGGAGGAGCTCATATTACGCTTCGAGAGATCCAAAGTCTTTGTTTCAGAGAAACTATTGTTAAGCTGAATTCAGATGTAAACCTATCTCAAGCTATCGAGAAGCTCGGTAGCGGCATACACAGAATTCTGGTCACCGACACAGCCGGGGATGTTATCGGCATTTTAAGTCAGCTTCGTATGGTGGAGTTCTTCTGGAACGAGGGAATCAATTTTCCTACCATTGATCGGCTCTACCCAGCTGCGGTGCAAGAGCTGGGACTTGGTGGCCAGCCGATCATCTCCGTTCAGTGAGTACAATCTGCTTCAACAAAGGGGCCGATATTCGTGAACCATAATTGACAATCCCACAGCGCTGATGCTCCACTTACGGACGCCCTCACTCTTATGTATGACGAGGGCCTCTCAAGCGTAGCCATTGTGGACAATGGACAAAATGTCGCGGGGAATATTTCAACCAAAGACGTCCGGCATTTGACAAGTTCATCGAGCGCACATCTACTCAGTGGCTCTTGTATGAACTTCATATCTGTTATTCTCAATGAAAGAGGCGTAGAAAAGGGACAGGATGTCTATCCCGTATTCTATGTAAGCCCATATTCCACACTGGCTCACACCGTCGCCAAACTCGTGGCAACCAGATCACATCGAATGTGGGTTGTGGACTCTGTACCGCCACCATCACCTCTGTCAACGCCCGCCATGCCAACGGCAACATCGCAGAGCTCTGCAGCGATCGATACTACCCCAGGACCGATCCCACCTGCTGCCCCTGTCCTCTCGGTTCCAGCGGCTGCGATGGCTGGTGCGCTGCTGTCAGGTAAGCTAATTGGAGTTGTTTCACTCACAGATGTTCTCAATGCATTCGCAAAATCTACGGGACTGCACCCCTCTGAGCCGTGGGAACAGAGAGCGCGACGGCGGCGCAGCTCAAGCAGTTCGGTGCGGCACAGTGTAGAAGCGTTCCGATCCAATAATGAAACAAGGAGATGAGATGTGAGATTTGATCAATCAAAGTTGTACTGTACAGCGGACTGTAATCCTAAATGCGGGCAGTGGTATCGTGAACGTTGTTATTAACGATTATCTTTAAGATCAATATGATAGTATATAATCAAGTGTGCGCATGCAAATTGACCGATGTAATATAAAAACCATGGCTACAATACTATGAGAATACTTTGTATCAGTGGGTGCTGCGTATTAAGACAAGAGAACTCGGATCTCAGCCGATGTTCTTGAAAATCGCACAGCCGCTTCATTGTCTGTTTCATCGCCGAATTGACTTGCAACAGCCTCCTCCAACCTCTCAAAGTCGCTACAGAATCTTTCAGCAGCTTGTTCTATAGTCTCACGAGCAATTCCTGAGTCCTGGAGCCCCTTTAGCCTATCCATCGCATCCATCAATGCGGATGGGAGGAAGTCGTCCAACTCCTGGCTAGCTTGAATAACAGAAGATGGTGCTACTGAAGCAAGTGCAGCATCTTCTAGGCTATTTAAAAGCATATCCAGGCCTGATCTCTGGCAAAATACAGCATGTTGGTCATTAACCAAGTTAACAACATCCTGTGATATGCTCTCTCGAATTTCATTTGCTCTGAAGGTCGTGCATTCATAAGTTTCTAGGCAAAGAGCTGCCGTGAGTTTGCAATTGACAAGAAATATCCCACTCTCAGGGTACGTCATCGGCTTTGCGATCTCTTCGCAGCCCGACATATATGGTTCAAACGCTTGTGACAATATACTTTGAACCTCACTTCCAGGATCTGCGGACACAGACAAAGAAGACTCATAAGTCTGGAGAATAACGCTGAGCTGTTTGAAAGCATCTTGGAGGAATCGCGGGGGCTCTAGGTTTGAAGGAACTTGTTGAAATTCACCTTGAATGGATAAAATATTATCTCTCACAAGTGATCGAAATTGTCGCTTGGCTACTTTCTCTAAAGCTCCCGCACATTCTTCCAGACCGGAACCCGCACCTAGAAGCTTCTCAAATGTGGCTCGGTAGAAACTGAGCAGCGAAGAAATCTTATAGGCGGGAATTACATCTTCGTTTGACTGGACTGCTTGCTCAACTCGCTGGCGCAGTATTCGAACGACCGGTGAGAAATTGCGATCCATTAGTTGGTCAAGAGCTTCAAGAACCTTAGAATCAGTATCGACAGAGACCTCATCTGAGGGAAAGTGCCAAGGCTCTTCGTTGAAGCTCGGCATGGGTTGGTTTAGCCCATCATCCTTTTTGAGCGTGAACAAAGTTTCGAGAGCTTCTCGCTCACCCACTGTTGCAGAATGGACCCAAGCAAACATATCACCAACATAGCGAAGCGGATCATGTGCCGTTAAATCAATTGGTCTGGTGGAAGTATCTTCTGTGCCTTGTGGCGTAATGCCAGTGAGAGCACAGTGAAAAGCCTCAGATAAGATTCGTTCTCTAGATGCCGCAAAAAAGTCAAGGCAATTCTGAAATAGAGAAGGTCGTTCAGCAAGGACTCTTAACGCTTGCCGCATGGATGGATTGACATGGGGGTTTTCTAAATTCAACGTTCTAAGCTCTTGCTGAACCCATTTGTAAAGTTTTTGAAAAGCTAAACTGACATGCCCGGATGTCCGATCGATCAACTCCAAGCCCAGAGTTTGGTTTTCAAAGCCTAAGAGTATGTCGCAACCAAGGGTGATCTTTTTCGCTTTCTGAAGACAGGTGAAGAATGCATCGTCAACGGGTTTCAACGTTGATGTCAGCAAATCAATTTCGTCTTCTGTCAGTACAAAATAGCCCTCAACGGCGCTGAGAGTTTCTTGTTTCCTCTCTATTTCCTTGTGTTGTGCAAAGAGAGATGACATATCTCGCAGAGCAGGTGAAGTCTGAGCATGCGCTAAATCGATTTGTCGCCTAATAGCTTTGATGCGAGAATTCGCTTTTTCGACCACGCTCCGGAGGAGTTTCAAGCGCTGTTCAACGTGTTACCATTTTAAAATGAACAGATAGAATGGCCAGAGTCTAACAAACCTCTACAACACTACCCATCTCCTCGATTATTTCGCCATTGCAATCAATTGCTTCTCGTAGAAGATCTAATCGGAGAAGGCGCCTCGTTTTAGCATTGCCTCTTGAGAGCCGCTCATCGGCAAGAAAAATTGCATCGCGAAAGTCATTGTCTGAATAAGAGGTCGAAAGAACAGATGCGACTTTCAGAACCATAAGATCAGCTCCCTTATTAATGGCCGGGGAAGTAGATGGTAAGCCATGTGGTAGAGTAAGGCTATCTGCGTAGGCCATTGAGAATGAAGTTGAAAGTTATTCGAGTATAATAGTTGGCTAAATAGTAATTTTATAATATAAATTATAAGAGAACAATAGTTAATTTAGTTATAATAAGAACATAAACTAAATAATAAATTAAAGTATAATTAAAAATTTTTTAGTTATATTTTAATAAATAATAAATTAAAGTATATTAAAAGAATTTTAAGTTATATTTTAATTAAATAATAAATTAAAGTATATTAAATATATTAAATTAAATTTTAATTTTTTTAATAATTATAAAATTAAAGAATTAATTAATAAAAAAATTATTATTTAATTTTATATTAATATTAAAGATAATAAAAATAATAAAAATAATAAAAATAATAAAAATAATAAAAATAATAAAAATAATAAAAATAATAAAGATAATAAAAGAAATAAAAATAATAAAAATAATAAAAAATAATAAAAAATAATAAAAAATAATAAAAATAATAAAAATAATAAAAATAAAAATAATAAAAATTATAAAAATAATAAAAATAATAAAAATAATAAAAATAATAAAAATAATAAAAATAATAAAAATAATAAAAATAATAAAAATAATAAAAATAATAAAAATAATAAAAATAATAAAAATAATAAAAATAA